ACTCACACCTGCACCTGCAGCATGGCTTGAACACTCAGACACCACCCTGCCTGAACCAGCGCGAATTACTCGTCATTGTCGAAGATTCCAACATTTAAGTACTTCAGTGAAGATCACCGCAATCGCTTCGCGATTGGCGAGCTAGGACTCGCGGGCTGCATAAAAAAGCACGAAAGCGCGGGTCATTCCCGCATGTTTTGCCGAAGATAAAATTTCGACGGCTTAATTTCACTCTGAACCTGACAGTAGACGTAACTAGAGCTGCCACCCCTGCTGGCTGCCGGCTGCCCGGCCCTGCTTATGCATCAGCACTTGCCGACAACAAAGCATCACCTGCACCTTGGTAGCTGGCCAGCAAGCGGCACGCATCAACGTAGCAGCGGTTGAGTACGCAAGCTTCAGTTTAATTCGACATGCACCCAGACCATGAGCTGCCCGAAGGCGCGGTGGAGTTGGAAGGCCCGCCGGCGGTGCGGCTGTGCTGCTTTCACCCCAGCAGTGCAGTTTTTGTGGCGCCAGATGGGATCGTATATCGCTTCAAGACACGCGCGCACAGGTGATGTTTGGGCGCACCTACACGTTGGGCCCACTGGGTGGGATGTGGACATGAAATCGGACATGCGTACGATGCCAAGCATGCGGGTTAGGGCATGTAACAGCCCAAGGGGGGGGGGGCGATTGCATCAGATAGTTCCTCAACAGCGCTGAGCTGGCACGCAGTGGCTTTTCTTCTCGACAGCTTGCACTGTACGTTTGGCCCGCAACCGCCTGGGACTATGTCACCTGCGTGCATGCAGGCAGCATGTTCCTTAATGGTGATGTCCTGCAATGTGGCTGTGAAATCGCTGGATGATGCAGCCCCCGAGGAGGCTATGCGTGTCACTGAGTCTGAGCCTTGCCAAGTGAACGCAACGCCAAATTCACATCACAAGCACACACGTCCATGCACGTGCCCGCAGGAAAGGCCGCTACCCCGTGCGTCTAGGTGGGGCCGTAGCACTGCCCAGCCACCACCGGCTGCGCCTGCTCCCGGCATGGTGGGGCTACCCGTACGGCGACATATCCTACTGGGTGGGCCTTGTGTTCACCCTGGGGTGCATTGCCTGGGTCGTCAACGGGCACTACGCGCTATGGCAAGATGGCTTTGCCGCGGCGGCCAGCAAAAATGCCGCCCAGGTGGTGGCTGCAGTCGCGGCGCTCGTGGGGGGTGAGCAGGCAAGGGTGGCGCCCCTGCCAGGGCAGGATCATGCTTGTTTGCACAGTGTATCTGTCGTCAGCACACATCACGCTGCAATCTGCTGTATGGCCCAAGGCAGCGGCATTTGGAGGTTGGCCCGCAGTGCGTGTGGGTGGCTGCGGCATCGATGGGCGTACTCGTAAGCAGCCCAAGTGTCACACGTGCGTGCGCCATCGCGCACTTGTGCACAACGTGCAACGGGATGGCGGATGGGGTCACTTGCTGCCGCTTTGTTGATGCGCGAATAAGTAGTCGCATAGAAACAGCTGCTACTCCCCAGCAGCAGGCAATTGGCTGCTCTCAACGGTCCACACCTTTGAAACTGTCACTTGCATAAACCCAAGGAAATCAGCAACAGCTCACAGCGCAGCAGCTCACAGTACAGCAGCTCATGGTGCAGCAGCTCACAGTGCCACGAGATTGAAGCAAGCATTTGCTGGGCACTCGCCAGGTCTTGTGTGTTGTCACCCAGGGTGGCCAGCCATTTTGACGCATTGCCACTTCACACACACACTTTGGCGTCGACGCAGGCACCTTATTCGAGGTCGGCTCATGGTTACTGTATTGGGAGGCGCTCAACCCGCCATCAGATGTGCCCCTACCCTCTACACACGCACCGCCTGCGGTTGCCACCTGTCCAGCGCAAACTGGGGCTGCCGCTGCAGCGCCAGCGCACCCGCGGTCGCCACACCCAGTGGCAGCCACCCGGGGCATAGAGAAGCAGGGGACTGAGCCGCGCACCGGCGCGGGAGCACCATGCGGTGGCGCCGCACGAGCACCTGCGGCGGTCACATCCAAGCAGCGGCAATGGCGCTGGTTTGGTGTGCGGCCGCACGATGTTGGCTTTATGGCCAGCCTGCTGCAGCTGATTGGAGCCACCATTTTCTGGGTGAGAGGAAGCTTGCTTGCAGCCGAGAGACAGTCGCTTTAGGGTTTAAGGTTCAGGGTTTGCGGGTGCAATTGTTGCAATGGGTCCCCTCAATCGGCCATTGTGGCTAGCATGCCATGTCAGAGCGCATTGTGTGTGCGCAACCGAATTGGGGCTGTCTATGTGAGGACTGAGGCAAGCAGGATGCATGCAACGAAGCTGGCATCGTGATCCAAGTGGGATTTTCCAAGCAAAATCATGCTTGCAAACGCAAATGCTGCAGCATGACCTGCCCCTCTTCATCTGTCCTTGCTGTCGTGCAGGTCCCTTGCATTTTTGCCACACCAGGTGTTGCCAAGGCAGAGGACTTTGACAACGTTGGGGCCTGGGACGGTGGGAGCTAGTCGGGCGGGCAGTTGCGCGCTGAGGGTCTGCAGCACACTTGCTCAAATGAGAAAGAGAGCGCCTTTGCTGGCCTGTTGCACAAAATGCCGCATGCAAAGCCCTTTCTGACGTGAAAGAATTGCATCGCAACGCGCACGCATTTGGGGATGGTGTGGTTGCAATTCCGTTGTCACTCAGGCCCACGTCAGCGCTGACTTGGCAGGCTAGCCCACCCATTGTCAGTTCCTAATGTGATCGTCCCTCCGACAAGCGCGCACACGTCGACCACGCCTGCATGTGATGGGGGCTGATCTGCTGGCAGGCATCATCTGTTGCGCGTGTCCTTGTCCAACTCGACATGCTGCACACCTACTCCGTGTCGCTGACCCATGTGCAAAACTGCCAGGCGTATTCTGGGGGCTGCAGGTGGTCGGCGCCACCTTCTTTATTGCCTCGTCTGCGCTATTCATGCTGGAGGAGCAGCCAACCTGGTGGCAACCCATGCCGCAGCGTATTGGGTGGCACGTGGGCTTTTGGAACCTACTGGGGGCTGGTGCGTACGTGCAGAAGCACGCGGGCGTATGTACCATCTGCAACACGCCGATTTCAGCACACAGACATATTGCGTGCAGGCCAGAACGACGCACCTGCGCATGGCGGGGTGGTGCACAAGCATGGTTGTGGCGTCACTCACAAAACAAAAAGAAGGCCCCGGGCCCTGCATTGCCCCAGCTTAGCAATGCCTGCCTACTGCGGCCCAGTTGATTCCCCTCCCACAGCCGTCCGTCCAACACCGCCTATCTACCTCCCTCATGCATCCTTGCTCTACATGTACCCTGCAGTTGGCTTCTGGCTCTCCGGCTTCTTTGGCTTCTGGAGTTTGCAGGACATCATGCAGGTGGGCAGGGCAGTCGAAAAATAGTTTAGGAATAATCCATTTGCGCCTGTTGTAATCGTTGATCAGTTGGCAGGACCACCTTTTGGGGCTAGCTCATCAACGTCAGGCAGCTACATCAATAACACCATCAAGTGTTTGCCGCGTTGCTTGCACACCATTCTGAACGGGCGCAAGTGCACCTGTGCATGGTTCAATCGACCAGCAATCGGTTGCGCAGCGGCCCAGACTCTTGCACGCACCTGGCCGACTCTTGCACACGCCCTCGCATGAGTGACATGTGTGAGTCTGCCTTCCTCCCATCTCCATTCAGCACGCACGCATACACGCACGCACGCACGCACACGCGCGCGCACGCGCGCGCACGCATAGCAACTGGAGTGATTCCATCATGCTTGATGAGATTTTTCCGCAGCCGCTTCACGTGGCTGCTTGCCCCTCATGACATGCCTCTCAAAGGTTGCATGCCCCCCCCACTCCCCTGATCCCTTGTGCAGCTGGGCGGCACCAATGCCTCCACCTTCTGGGGGTCATACTGCTTTCTGATTGGCAGCTACCTCCAGCTGCTTGAGGCTGTGAACAAGCACCAAGCGGTCTCGGCGTATGTGCAGCTGCCCCCAGGGTGGTACCGGCAGGACAAGGTCATGGGGCCGGCGCGCGTGGCGCTGGCAGCCAGCAGCAGCGTTGCAGGCAGAGCAGGGATGGTGTGATGGCTACTGCTTGATTGCAACACAGATGTTTAGTGGACCGTCATGTTAAGCGGCGCAGCCAGGCAGGGCAATACAGTTGGTAGTGTAGGTGCCTGTGTCCGGGCACAATGCACAACCCAATGCACATGTAACATGCAACACCAATATTTGCTTGTGTGTGGCAGTCGGAAGCTGCTGATGGGGTATGGATGGCACAATATGAGTGTTGCTGCACCTGCTCGCGTGTCGCCGAAGCTATCATAGTGACACGCTTGAGCGGTTGCCACCGTGAAGCTGGCGTGGGGTTAAGACAGAATGACGTATGTAGATGGCAAAAGGTGTGGCTGCATGGTGTTCACATGTATAAAGTTTGCCTTCAACTATTGTCCACTACTATTGGCAGCAATCTCCAGTCACTGTCATCATGTATATCAGTCAATGAGTCAACGCGGCCACCGGGAGGCACCCGAACCCTCCGTCCAGGCCCCTTCCACGGGTCACCCTGCAGCAATGGCAGGTGAGGGTTCATGCCATGGATCAAAGGAGGAGGTTGCATGCAGGCCGTGCGGCCCCTTGCCGCGTCGTCATTGCAGCTGGTGGGATCGTCGACATTCCCTCTTGCCACCAAGAACACAGCCGCAACATACAGGCTGCTCCATTGCAGCTACGAGTCCGAATGCCTTGCTCTGGCTGACTCACTACTGTACTTTTCCCCATAAACCTCTAACCCCCGCCCTCCACCCTACGCACCCGTGCCCAAATTAACCCAACCCCCTGAGTGTTTTCCCCCACCACCCCGCTGGCCCTGGAGAAGCTCGTCGTTGAGCACGACAGACCAGGCATTGGTGCCAAGAGCTCCGCTGAGCTGGCCAGCATCAGCGCCGTGTCCTGCATGACATGGGGCTGGACAGGGTGCAGTGCGTCCAGTCGTATGGGGCAGCGGGCAAGACCTTCTGTACTATCTGGCCAGCGGTGAGGAGGCCATCCAGCAGCATGCTGAGGCGGGTGGCTTCCCCATCACCGCAGTCAACAAGGTCCAGGCCACCCCTGACCCCACCACGGCAGCCGGCGCTGCACAGCAATGAAGAGGAGGCGTGCGCTGCCGAAGGCCTCCACATTTTGATATGTGTAAATCAAAAACGCGTTACATGTACGCCAAAAGAGCTGCCCAACATCACTGCCAGCTGTCCTATAAAACAGCTAGCTGCGCAGCCAGCCCCGCCATCAGCGTGGGCTCGTGGTGCCCCAGCAAAGCACACCCCTGCCGCAGCGTCGCCACCGCCGCGTCCTCAATGAACGAAGCCTGCCCCGAGGTGCGGGCGCTCAGCCTCCCGAGCGCGGCCCCCACATCGTCACTCATCCGCGCAAGCACTGCGCGCTGAGTGGGCGGCACTGCCCGCCCCAGATGGCGCCCCGCCGCCACAAGCTGCTGCGCCAGCAGGCAGCACTCCTCCAGCACTGCAGCCACACCCGCATCGCCATCAGCCGCCGCCTCGGCCGCCACGTCGCGCCGCCAGTCCCCGTCTTGCCGTTCACCCTGCAGCACAAACAGTCTGGACCAAGAGTGGTACAGACCACCGCCTACGGCCCAGGATGGCCCCACAATATCCCGCAGGTCTGCCAACTGCTCAGCCAGGGCTGCCAGGCGGCGCGCGCTCACAGCGCTGGCCTCAAGGAACAGGCTGGGCGCGACAGCACTGCAGAACAGCGAGTGCGCCGCGCGCGCGTCGCCCGCCCCAAGCAGGTGGCGCAGCTGCGCGGCATCTTCCCCCAGGTAGCCTGCCCAGGTTGCCTATTGTGAGGAGCGGCCAGCAAGGGGGCAGGTGCGGGGCAGTGAGTTGGTGCAGAACAAGCTCCAATCGGCCGCGTCGCAAGCAGCGCCGGGGACGTACCACACGAACTCTGGCTTGTGTAAGATGCGCACAGCAAACAAACACTCACGCACACACACACACACACCGCAGTCAAATGAGCCCACCTGTGCTACCTCAAGCCAGGCGGGTGGAAGGCCAAGCGTGCCGGACAGGAACTTGTGCGCGCGCGCATCCAGCGCCCACTGAGGGGCAGTCCGCTCGAGCAGCGACTGCACCGCCGCCGCGCGCGCCGCTGCCGTCGCCAGCGACGGCGGCAGGTGCACGACAACATACACCGCCCAGCAGACCGCCAGGGCGGCGTCCCGGCCAGAGGCCAAGAGCAGCAGCTGTTCCACCGTATCCAGCGCGAGCCGCAGCAGCACTGGCTCTGGGTCCCCTGCAGAGCAGGCGGCCACAAGTAGGTATGGCCCAATCGGCTGTGGCCCACGGGCAAATTGCGCAGCAACCAAGCCTGAGTGCTCAAGACGTCCCAGCGCAGGCGCCATGCCGGAGCCAGCTGGCGAAGCGGTGCGCGCCCCGGCCACGCCCCTCACCCGCCATGTCGGTGTCTGGCAGCTCCCCCAGTGCCGCCAGCACACTGGAGAGCACCCAGCCCGGAGCCGCGTCCAGCGGGTTGGTGCCACGCCCGGCGGTGCGCAGCAGCCGCGCCACGAAGCCAGGCCCCGCGCCCCTCACACCGCGCGCGGCCAGCAGCAGCAGCTCGTACTGCGCGTCGCTGACAACAGGGCCGGAGGCGCCCACCGTCACATAGCCGTTGGCGGCGCTGTCGGGCAGCGCTGCGGCGGGGTCGCGGGCGTGCGCAGGGACGGGCGGCTCCACGCCTGCGACGCGTGCAGGCCCTGCAAATGCTGCCTCATAAGCATTAAGCGCAGCCCCTAGGCCCTCAGTTGAGGGTGTGGAGTACCTGCGGGTGCGTCCACAGCAGCGGCTTTTGATGGCTGAGGACACCTGCTCTGTTGCAAAGCACAGTCAAAGGTGCATGCACTGGATTGATCGAGGGCGTCTTCCCAAGGCCCCCAATGCATCCACTCACCAAAGCGCCAGGCCGAGGGCACGCGTCCAGTCCAGCTGCAAAGCGGCCGCAGCCTCCCCCATGCGCCCGCTGAGCACAGCAACCAGGAGCTTGCGCGGCTGGCTGAAGTGATCGCGCCACAACCCTGCAGAGTGCCAGACCTGGACATGGAACGGCCAGGAGCAGCACACGGCACACGCTTAGGCACGTAGGACTGCCACACACCACGAGGGGCCGGGGCAGGGCCCTCATAGTGAGGGATAAGAGCTGCGTTTGGAACCAGACAAATTGTTTGTGGCCCTGGTCCCGCGAACAGCAGTGCATGACACTTGCTTAATCCACAGGCGTGGCGCACCTGCAGCTGCCTCGCGATGTCTGAGCTGATGGCGCCGTGCCGTCCCGCGACAGACAGCAGCACAGCAAGCCGCGCGTCACCCGCCGCCGCGGCCAGTGCTGCGGCAGGCCCCAGCTGGTGGCCCGCCACCAGGTGCAGCAGCGCCCACAGCAGCGCCTCGCGCCCGCCCGCAGCGCTGGCTGCCACCACCGCGGCGCGCACGGCGCGGCCTGCCTTGGAGGCCAGCCATCCTGACAGCGTGGCGCGCCGCTTGTAGCTCGCCAGGCGCGATGCGCTGGTGCTTGCGTCCAGGACGCTCGGCCGCCCCTCTGCCCCCTCAGAGCCCTCCAGGGACATGGCATCGGCGCCTGCACCGCCGTCGACGTCGCCGTCCTCGTCAGCGTCACCATCCTCCTCGTCGCAGTCGCCATCTTCCCCCTCAATGTGCTCAAACAGCACCTGAAGGGTGGGCGGCAGGATGGGAACATTTTGAAACGATATATTTGTCTAGGGGGGGATAGCAGAGCTGAGGATCTACGGCCAGCAGCAGGTGACGATGCGCCTTTGGAACTGCAGCGCCGAATCAGTGCTTAGACACATGCAAACCGTCCCACCATTAACCCCATCCACCTGCAGCAGCTGCCACATCTCAGCAGAGGTGCCCTGGCCATCGCCGTCGCCATCGCCGCGCCGCCCCAGCGCCGCCAGCTGCTGCTTCACCAGCCGCGGAAGCTGCCGCCTGCTGCACACCAGCTGCCAGCGCGGCGCCAGCTGGCCGGAAGCCTGCTCCTTGTCTTCCTCTGCACCTTCACCGCCCCCGCCACCTTCGCCGTCCTTGCCGCCTGCATCCACCTCCGCGCGGCTCATTGACAGGTGGGCCTCAAACGCTGCCAGAGTGCGGCGCCGCAGCGCGCTCACCAGGCCGACGCGGCCCCCGGCGTTTTGCGCTGCGGCGCCTGGCTGCGCATCCACCTCCAAAGGCTTTTGCGCCGCGGGCCTGACGGCCGCCAGCGGGGATAGCTGCGTCACGGTGACGCTAGGGGCGGCTGTGCCAACTGTGGCGGAGGCGTTGACCGGGAAGGCCATCGCACCCCCCGGGCCAAAGCCGGCACGGAAGGATCGCCCCATGAGCATGAAGGCGTCGCAAACATTGCCGCCGCCACCCGCCACAGCCATACCCTCGCACGGGGATGGCACAAGCGGGGCCTCGAGCGCGGTGACCTGCGCCAAACGCGCTGTGCTGGGGGCCGGCACCACCAGCGCTGCGGGTGTCTGCTGCTGCGGCGCGTCTGGGGATGCAGCCTGCAGTAAGGCGGGCCGGGGGCGTGCCCAGTTGTGCACTGCGCTTGGCACGCCACGATGGGCAGAGCGCTGCTGCTGCTGCTGCTGCTGCTGCTGCTGCTGCTGCTGGTAGGCAGCGCCATGTTGAGGCGGCGGGGCCACCGCCAATGCAGCTTCAGCGCTCACTGCATCGGCCGCCGCGCCCCGCCCTGACGAAAAAACGAA